CAAATCTTATGACACGACTCAGCCTGCACCCACCACCCTGACCGCTACACCCTTACCAATGGTTCAGTGTTACAATTGTGCTGATGTAGTGATGAAATGTCAAAGGCCTTTCCATGGAAGTGAGAGTGTGTTTGCTGCCACCTTCGTCCTTTCTGCACAGATACAGGACACAGTAAATGTTGTGGGAGTCGTGTCCTGCTCTTTGTATCTCCTCTGGTTTTCTGCCCCGGCAGCCGTGTGGATGTGTCAGCCGCTGAACGTTACAAGTGAAAAATCATGCAGAACGTGGCGAGACAGCTGTTGTAGCACGGTGTCTAATGAGGTGTGTGTGTTACTTCCTTCCTAGTAGAAGCCAGGTCTGAAGCCCCAGACAGACAGACGGACTGGTTTTCTCTCTGTCTGTCTGTCTAATGAGCCTCCTTTAGAGTGATCTCACTGAGTCGCTGATGACCTCTTGCCATGCATCACACACAGGCTGAGTCAGAGACTGGAGGCTAACAGCAGACACACACAGTGGCTGCTTCGCTATTCAGACATTACACTTATTTATTAATTCACTTATTAATTCAGGAGTTGGCAGAAACCAAAACCAGAGGTAGAGCGTGAACGTTGGTCTCAGCTTCATCGTGACAAACATGACACAGGAAATGAATGTTGCTCTAACAAATGCACCATGTCAACACCTTTGTGTTTACAGTTGTGTAATCAATACCCACTAACAACACAAAACAGACGCTATGTTGTTCTAGCAAAGAAATTGTTTGCAAAAAATGTATTGATATGAATAAAGTGCAACAGTGTAGAGTATTATTTTATTTATTTAACTTGGATTTGCAGGGAAAACCCCACTGAGGACACGAAGCTCTTTTACGAGGACTCCCTGCCAAGACAGCGACATAAAGTCAAAGATGCTTGTTGAATACACAGTAGCACTAATTAACTTTAAGCACAGATTTTTCCAGCACTTCTGTACTTTTTTAGTGACAGCTCTGAGTGATGTCTGAGCTTTCAGAAACGCTCCACTTACGTGGTAATAATTACATCTTGGATGTGTGAAGACTAATTACAAGTGATTACAGCAGCTCTACGTGGTGAATGCAGCTTTAGTATCTGACTGAGTGAACTACTAAGTGTCTGTAGTGAATGAGTGAACGAGGGAGTGACTTCATACACCTGACACGTACCTGCTCACACTAACATGGTAAACTGTGAGTTTTAGATTCCGTCTCTGGACAGAACCGGGGACGCCGGTGGTGCCGAGCTGCTACAGGCTCCTGGCAGCAGCTTCATATTTATCAACCACACACGAGGACGATATCGATCCCAACCTCTAACATTCGGCAAGAAGAAAGTACATCAAAATGTCTAACTTCTTCTGTTAATGTCTAACTTCTTCTGTTAATGCCTAACGTCTTCTTCTACTAACAATAACAAAATGAATACTCAGTCACAGCATCAGGACCGACCAGACCTTTCTGCCAGTAAATGAAGACCAGTGGTAGAAAGTACATTACTCTAGTATTTCCTTTTTTACTTTATACTCCTCAGAGGGAAATACTGTAGTATTTACTTTACCACATTTATCTGACATCTAGCGGCTGTGAGACCAGTGCACAGGGCCCGTAAACAAGGTGCAACACAGGGAAGAGGGAGGCCTCCTACAAAATACTGAATTCTCTTACACACTGTAGTGTTGTCAGAGTTACTTCACACGTCAGTGGCAGTCTGCTGGTTGTACAGCAACTACTAGGAAAAATATGTCATTTCATAATTTGGGGTCGTTTTGATTAAGAAGATTATCCAGTAACTTCACTCATGCACCATAGTGTCCCCATCATCTCTTCACATGTTAATGGCCATCTGCTGATTGCCCCACAACACTTAGTTTAGAAAAATATGTTTGTGTATAATGCTGATGAATTTTTATTGGGACAAATAGAATATTTAACAGCTTCACTGTTAGACAGTAGTGTCACCAGAACACTGGTCATCATGGGCAGGTTGGAACCCAATGGAAAGGAACAGCTTGTATGTGGAAGCAGCATCAGGCAAGAGAAGCAGAGGAGGCTGGTGAGGTGCATGTCCACTGCTTCAGGTGTGGTTCTAAGTTGGGGACGGCGGTGGGGGCCTAAGGGGTAGGCTGGGGGGTTGTCCCTATCAATGTGGGGGCTAAACCTACGCCCTTGGTCCAGACGCATCATCCATCCAGTGAGTGCGCAAGGACAAGGCTGTTCTGCCTCTCTCTCTCTCTCTCTCTCCCTCTCTCTCTCTCTCTCTCTCTCTCTCTCTCTCTCTCTTATGTAAGTGTGTCCTGATCTTACTGCAGCACACAACACACCCCGACACACACATACACTCTCTCTCTCTCTGAGCAAAAGTTTCATTGTCCTTAATCTCAGGTTGTGAGTGTGTGGAGGAGGTGGGCAGGTGAGGGGGCACGCTCACACAAGAGGGAGAGAGAGACTATGTGTGACCGAGTGTGTGTTTGAGTGAGAGAGAGAGGACAGAAGAGTCCGCGAAGGAGAGAAGGAGGACGGATCGGAGTCAGACAGCAGGAGGCTGCTCTGACATGCGGACCGTCTCTGATCCTGGCCGTGACGTTACCGGCTCTACCTGACCGACGGCAGATCAGCCTGCTCAGAGACCCGGGAGCCCGTCTTCTGCTCCGTTTCTCCTCCATATATACACCTCTCATCTGGACCGGCTCGCGTCGCCATGCCTCCGGCCGCCCGCTCGGTCGGGTACCGACTCCGCAGCACCTTGCCGGCGGCGCTGTGGATGGGGCTGCTGTGGAGCAGCATCTCGGCAGGAGGTACAGCCTCATTTGTGTGCTCATGATCAAACCAGTATAATATAACCATCTGCATGCATGTTACTCCACTTCCCTCAGCCTTGGCTTCCTTCCAAGCAGAAGGCTTGAGTTCAGTCGTAAAGCTTTGCAACGCTAACTCGTCTTTCTGGGCATCCCTGTCTCGTTATGAGCCATCTCCTCCCGCGACTCGTAGGAGGAGAGAGAGATGGAGAGTCTGAAGCAGCCTTTGAAGTCTCGAAATAAACGCGGTTGCAGGCTATTTACTGTGCGAGTAGCTCCAACCACTTTGGCACAACAGTCCAGGCTGCACACGCAGAGTCCATGTGGACCGGAGCCCACTCGTGTGCGTGGGAGCCTCGATCAGGCAGGAGGGAGAGAGAGGGAGAGAGAAGGAGGGAGAGAGGGAGAGAGAGATCACCTGTCAACCAGCTCTGCTGACAAGAGGGAGGGAGAGAAAGATCACCTGTCAACCAGCTCTGCTGACACGCACAGAGTGGGAAACAGGGATTCCTTCAGTTTGAACATTAGTCAAAGGTGAGAAGCTGATGGTGGAGGGTTTCATCGTTACAATGACTTCAGTCTGTCGCCTCTGTGATCAGGCCTCAGAGCTGTGACTTCTGTGACTTAGTAGAGGCTTTGACATGGCCCTGGTGTTGCCATCTTGACCTTGACATTGGAGTTTTCCACATAGAGTCCAAAATAGGGCGCAGGTGCAACAAATGGTTGTTTTCCTTATGGACGCTCTGCTTCGTCTGTCTCTGTTGTCACTGCTGGAAATATTAGCAAAGAGTGAAACATGCTGTCACAGTCCAAAACCCAAAAGTCTTCACACATTTAATCCTGATATGATGAATCAGTAATCGCAGTAGGTGCTGACTAATTTGACTGATTCATCTTCTGCATCAGATAGATCCAAGTTCACTCGACCTTGGAATCAGTTGGAAAAAAAATGTTAGCAAAACGTTCATTCTTGAGCAAAAAAGAACGCTGCAGCTATGACATGTCTAAATAACTGAACATTTAGGACTTTTAGAATTAAGAGTAGAAGAGTAAAAGACGACCAGGGGCCTGTTATTGAGGACGTTTACCAGGCAGCACTGTTCAGACACAGGACTCCATCAATCAGGTCCCAGCAGGCTTCAGTCTTCTTGTTAATTGTGTCACTCCTGTCTTTCTCTGTGTACACGCAGTTGTTCAGGCTGTAAATGCAGCAACACACACACACGCCTGTCATAGACACGCACAGTCATGTGCTGCACCACTGGTTTCATCTCTTTGTCGGGGTTTGTGGTTAATGAGATCACCCAGCAGAGATGTAATGTCACAGAGCCAGCTTGGGATTGTCTGTGTGTGTGTGTGTGCCAGTGTTTCTAAATGTGCGGATTGCGCCTGTGTATGAAGATAGGCCGGATCAGTACGTGGTCTAATTTCCCAGGGTGAGAGAGATAATCTGGTACAACGGCAGCTTGATAACTGAGTGGAGACTCACAAGCTCCAGCTGGGAAGTGAAGCCAGCAGCAGTGTGTGTCCACAGAGCAGCGTGGAGCCTTTTATCAAACCACACTGCCACTGTTTTGCTGCACAAATATCAATAAGGCATGTCTGCTTAATTTAAGAATATAGATTCTCTTTTCTTCTTGTCATTCCTCTTGTAAGTCACCTTCTCATCACGTCACCTCTCCTCTTCCTCCAGTTCTGCTTAAGTCATCTTCCTTTGAATGAGAGAAGAGAAAATGGAAGTGAGGGGGAGACAGAGGAGGCTCTTTGTTATGGTCGAATAACCCCGGCCTTATTATACAACTAGCTCCTCAGGCTGCAAACTTCTGAGAATATTGTCAAGTAAGCATCAGAAAGAGACCCAGCATGAGAGACAGTAAGGCTGAAGGGAAACCAGGTCTGAGGAGGGGGACGTACTCTCTGTATGTGGCAAAATATAGCCAGGCCAGATATTTAAATAGTCAGGGCTTACACAGAATAGTGTGCTCTCCTTTCCAACGCTTATTTTTGGAAAAGAAACTGTGGAGATACAGAACATGTTTAGGGGAAAGTGGTCCTCATCTGTGAAGCTTGTTCTCATAAAGGTGAAACATAAACTAAATAATAATCAGCCACACACTCACACTGTTTCCTGTTTAGTTGTCCCCTGTGGCACCAGAACATGTGGTTTGAGCCTTCAGGAAGTATAATAGTCTGAACTGGGCTCAGAAAGGTTTTTGGTGCTGGAGACACTTGAATTATCAAGGCTACTTATGTCTCATATCAAGTCTTAAACTGCAGGCATTCAGATGCTGTTCCTGTCTGTTCAGAGCACAGTATTATTATTATTATTAGTTTCTTTTTGCAAGGACACGTGCAGCTAAACACTGTCCAGGCAGCCGATGCCGTGTATATGGGGCATCTGGCTGAGAGCTAATCCGCAGCACTGTCCCTGTTTAGACTTTTAAAACGGGTTCAAACATCCAGAACAAAAAGCTTAAGAGTCAAACCCAGCATAAACCAGCAGCGTAACACCTGACCAGCGCTGTTCCACGATCACGTTGTTCACGCCGCTGTTTCACCTTTGGAGAAGAGATGAACAGTTCTGAGTTTAAACCTGTTAGTAAATGAACCCACAGCTGTGGAAAGTGGTTCTGCAGCTCCCAGCGACCGTCCCTCTGGTCTGGACACGTCTCTATTACATCTTTAGATCAACTGATGTGTTATATCAGGGGCAAAGCCATTTATAGCTGTTCATGTATCATGTCAATGTCAGTTTATAAAGCATGTTTAAAACAACATCAGGTGGCCAAAGCACTGTACATTATAACACGTATGGCAGCATAAAACAGTCACGTCAACCAGTGTTTGATTGTTTGTGTCTTGTTGCTTTTCTTTCCTTCTCTCTCTCCTCTATCCACTCACCCCAACCGGTCGAGGCAGAAGGCCGCCTACCAAGAGCCGGGGTCTGTCGGGGAGTTTTCTCCTCCCCGCTGTCGCCAAGTGCTGCTCGGGGGGTTTGTTGGGTTTTTGCTTATTATAGTGTAAAGTCTAGACCTGATGGTGTACAGGAAAGTGCCCTGAGATGACTGTTGTTAGACAAATAAAACTGAATTGAAACTGAAATAAAACAGACATGAGAAAAAAGACAAAAGAGAAAGAGCCACATTCCCCAGCCTGTACCTAAAAGCAATAATACATTGGATAAAAGAAAGATTACAGCTACCAAGCTGTCATAAGCCATCATGTACGTCTTAAGTGAGGATTTAAACACTGATGGGGTCAATTTAATGTGTAAAGGAAACTTATTCCAAAGTTTAGGAGCTGCAGCTGCCAAGGCACAGTCAGCAGATCATCTGACCTAAAAGGTCTGGCTGGACGATAGGGTCTGAGAAGTTCTGAATGCCAGGGACGAGCTAAACCACTTAATGCCTTAAGATTCATAAAGGTATTTTAAACTGGACTGTGAAGAAGTGCTGTCAAAGTCCAGTCATATGGCAGGAAGACATGTTCAGAGACAGACTGGATGCTGGAGGTGACCTCATGTTAATCAGCAGCAGCAGAGCACAGGTGGGCTGAGCAAGGTTTAACCTTCTGTTTCCACCAGAGCCCCCCCCCAGAACATCCTCCCTTGATTAACACAGTTACATAGATCAGTGTGCTCTTCATCAAGAGTTAATGCAGTGTTTTCTGATGGACTACATAGCAGCTCTCTGTAGTGCTGGGTCAGCCAGGGCCAGCCTGTTACTACACTGAGCCTTTACACTGTGTTACACTGGAGGCTGAGCTGAAGTTTTCAAATGAATTCTTTACAGTCCCTTCCAGGCGCTGCTGGTTTTAAGTCATGCCACTACAGTGTAGAGACTCCAAAAGGTTGTAGATAATCCAACAGAGTGTGAACAAGGACTCCAGTATATTTTATTTAACATGATGTGAGGATGCTCACAGAATCTTTAAATGGACAGAGAAGGAGAGGCTAATGACAGTGGCTGCTCAGAACTGTGCTACCACATGATAAAGGCTGCAAGTCTCTGCAGGTTTATTTCTTCACTGCAAATGGATCCAGCTGCCTGGATGCTAGATAACAAATTTAATAATGTGTGGGGTGCTTTGGAAAGTTGCTGGCAACAGTGTTCTGCCTGTAAAGGCTACCCAGCCTGAGGTTAAATGGCCTGAACAGGCTAAAGAACCAGATCAGTTGTTGTAAAGTGAGAAAAGTGTTGGGTTGGTCTTAGTCTTTGTTCTGAGCCTGCTTTGTATTCAGGAGTGTGAGTTCTTGTTTGTGTTTGCTGCAGCTGGAGGAGTGTAGATGATACACAAGCTGCCATCTCAATTAGTCCCTGCACTCATTAGGACCAGAAGTGAGAGCTGCAGCATCTTGAGCTCTCACACACACTGACATATGGTTCGAGCTTCTGCAGCAAACCTCCCAGAGATGACAACGTCCCAGTGAATTATTCAAAGGGGTGTGTGTGTGTGTGTGTGTGTGTGTGTGTGTGGTGGTGGTGGTGGGGGGGTTAGTCATGTAGTCCTGGTGCTAACCTTCCTCTGCGCTCAGTGGTGACATCAAAAGAGGACACCTGAAGTAGGAGCAGATCCTTCTGTCAGCGATGTCTCCGCCTCTTCGGGGATGCTCAGACCTTTGTGGCACAGTGTGGCGGTCTAAGGCTTTGAGAGTGTGTGTGTGCATTTGTGGTTCAGTGTGAGTTGCTGGTGCCTGTCTCAGTATCCAGGATTATCCTCTCTAGGGTGGCTGTAGGATTGCACCGATGCTGCTGACTCTTCTCTACAATAGAAGCAATTAACTGAAGCTTAACTTTGTATATGTCTGCTTTAAACCATGATGTTTGAGTATGTTTACAGGCACACAGCTGAAACTCGGTTTGTTTTTCTGTTGCTCAGCCTGGATCTATTACACCAAGTTCAGTTCCACCCGGTATAAGCTAATTTGATTTGTCTGCAGACAGACTCCACCCTCATGTTTTGGTCATGTTAAAGGTTTTTGCGCCTGTTGCTGACTTTGA